CAGCATACTTATTTTGCTAAAGCCATGTGTTGAATTTTGGACAGATGGGAAAGTCAATTTAACTTGTAATAATATAGTTATGCCTTATGATATTTAAAAAATTAAGGATACATTTAAATAGGAAATGATTAATTACTTATCAATTAATTTTAGCGAATTTTTTGCAAAGCATTTCTTAACGAAATGTTAAAATAAGAAATGCTCAATACTAAATACTAAAGTGGAAACCATTTTTTCAGGGCAATGTATTTGTTTAATATGTTTTAAGAAAATTTGCCTTTAATATTGTGGAAAATTTAATCAAGTAATTATATAGAATTTAATTTAAGAAACGATTAGGAAATCTTTAAAGGCATAGCATCAACAAACATTAGAGTAAGTGTATCTTTTTAAATGTCGAAAATAGTTATCTAATATTGATGCTATCACCTTCCTATATATAATTGCCAAATACCTTATACACAAATAGAATAGGTGATTAGCCCGTCAAAGGTCCATATCCATTATAGCATTACAGTAATTTTTAAATCAATCTAAAAATTCTGGATCAAATAATTGATACTATTATGGATGAAAAGTACTTAAAAAAATTATATGCGAATTCCTAAAACCTTTAAAAATCATTAATTTGATAAATTTTAGCAGTGTATTGATATTAAACATCAAAATAATAATTTAAAATATCAATTTATTAAATTGATAAATCGGTTTATTTTTGTTCTATTTCATCCCATATTTATGATTAATTATTATAAGCATCAGCTAATTCCTTGCAGATAAGTGGTTGAATTGAATTTGAAACTTATGTTTGATTATAAACTTCATTGTCTTCTATTCTCGACTTTTCTCATTAGTATCTAACTTTAGAAAATAACAAATATGTATAATATATTTAAATTATTTTATTAACAATCATGATAAAAAGTTAGATTAGATAAATTATTATAGTTATTTTATTTGCAATAATTCTGATTCTTCATCCAAAATTATCAAAAATTCTCCATCATCACTCAAAATTCCATTAATATATTTATTCTCAAATTCTATAGTTTAATCCAATTAAAAATAAAACCTGCTCTTATTTGTAGAAGGGATGATAGTTAGTATATTTACAAAGCATCCATTTTTCGTAACAAATATATACTTTGAATTATTGTAAATACAAGGAAAGTAATGATAGCAAAATTATTTCTTTCCTTTAATAGGAACTGAGAAGAATTCTTCATATTCTTGCTGAGAAGGATTAAACTTGTAAATCTGAAGATGGACATCATCTTCATGAGTATTCGGGTGAAATATAAACATATTATCTGATATATACGAAGATCGAAATCCATAATTTGGCAATTGAATATGTTATTTAATTTACCATAGCATCTAATTTGATTCTTCTATAATCAAGATTGATTTATCATTGCCACAAGAGATTAATTAGTTTCCAATTGAGTTAAATGTTAAAGAGGTTGCTGAATCAGTATGTTTAGAAATTGTCTATTTACAATACCACCGCTGTTGGATTGACCAAAATTTTATTAAGCCATCATGTGAACTGTAACTATCAGGTCTTCAATTAGAGGATGAAAAGCTATGCAAAGGATTTCTTTAGAATGTCCAAATAATTTGCAAATATAATTAGGTTTAGAAATGAGATCAGAATTCCAAATTGCTAGTGAAGAGTCGCTTTAGGCTGAGATAAAAAATGACTTCTATTTAAAAAATGTAAGCAGATAGATATTGTAAGCTTGGAGCTGAATTACTTAAAGTTATTTTAAATTTCCCATTTTAAAGTAAAAAATTAGTATTTCACAATCTATAGCAGCAACAAGCAAAGTAGAAGTGCTATTTATTGCTAAAGAATAGAAAATTCCGCATAACTTATAGTTAGATAATGATTGATAATTACAATGAGCTATTTTTTATTTTGAAGCTGTTTGATTCTATTTTATTATATGGCAACCCATGCAATTTTTATCAATAATTTATTTCTTCAGATATATTAACTGGTAGGGATATAATTAGAAAAATACCTCTTAATCGATATATTTCATCGCTATATCCATGGATCTTAAGAATTTCATTCATGTGTATATATCTTTCGTTTTGAATTGAAAAATATCAGTTTTAATTAATATCCTAGAATATCCATTTGATAAATTAAGCATGGCTAGAATAATTTTATCTTAAATCAAACTTTAATTCAAAACCCTGGGATTCGTTTTAATATAATTTATAGTAATTATGTTCTGCTGCTCCAATTTAATAAGAGACCTAAATTATCAGCTTTTTTAATTTGAGAATATCGTTATCATTTTTCTTCTTCGATTAAACCATTTTATGAAGAATTTTTTAAGTTTAGTATTTTATTACTTTTTGGGCTATCTTGATTACTATTTGTTTTAATTCAGAAATTCATCAAATTGAACTGATAAGTTCTAAATGAGCATCTTCAAAAATTTTGAATTAAATCAATAAGTGACACATTTCTAAAATTATAATTTATCAAGAAAAATTTTCAGAGATCAAGATTTATTTCCTTTTAACAAATAGAACTATTATTAACTGAATAATAAAGTTATTTCTAATTTATTCTAAGATTGATAAAGTTTTCAAAATTGATGGCTACCTTTTGCAAAAGTCAACCTTGATTTTTAATTAATTAATAAATAGGTATTTATAATATCTAATTCTATAACTTTGAAAATTTGAAACTATTTATAATAAAACAACATTTTCTCATATGTCTTCATTATTTTTAGTTGTATCTTCTTGTTTATAAGTAGGTATAAATAAAGAGTACCATTTATGATTATTCTTTTAATAACTAAATTGATGTTTGCAGAAGAGTTTTTTAATTCATAATAATTTATAGAATTTTTAATATTTAAATGATAGACATTAACAGTTAGCAAGTGATATTAGAAAAGTAGAAATAAAAAAGAGAAGATGCAACAAATAATTAAATACTTACAAATCTGAATGAATAATAGGATTTATCCAATTAAGAGTCACAACCATTTAATCTTTAAGAAAGTCTAAGATTAAGCCTTCTATGATTACAATATAGGAAGAAGAGGACGTCAAGTTTTATCCTTACCATCATGGATAAAATTATTCATTTATTTCAAAGTTGGCCTTTTTAGATTTAACAGCATATTCATTATTTCTGAAAAAAAATATTTTGGAGCAAAGGTGATAAAATCAATGAAAAGCATTTACCAAAATTATCAGATTTTGAGGATTTAAAATAAACCGTACATGATGCAAAATATAGAATAAAATAAAAAAAATAAATTAAATTAGGTGATTTAGTGAAGATAATATTTTTTGGATAATTAAAGTGGCTTAGTGTAGGATGTTTTTTCTGCCATTTTTTTGAAGCTGTTGCCAGAAATGGAGTATCAATGGTGATGAGTAAAGTAATAATAAGTGCCGAGAAAGATGAAAAAGATATGGCATACGGATTTGCTGTTTTATTAGTATTTCTAAATCTCATATGTTTTTTAATGATGCATCATGGTTATAATTTTGCAATGATCTTTTCATCAAAAGCAAGAATGACTTTAATCAATTTAGTTTACTAAAAATTAACTGAATTAAGTGCATATTCTATTGTGTAAGCCAATATAGGTAAAATATTAAACTTGGTTTCTGGTGATATTAATTAACTTGAATATGTTTTCATTACCATATACTATAGCAGCGTATGCTTTGTTTCAATGATTTTTGGGTGTTACATATTATGGGATAGATTTGATGGACCTATTGGAATTATAGCATTTGCTATCATTTTTCTAGTCTATCCAATTTAGATAGCACTTTAATCTTTTAATTCAGAAACTATAAAAAACTCAAAGCCATATCAAGATTAAAGGTTAAAATTGACGAATGAGCTTATTGAAGGTATAAGACTAATTAAAATGTATGCATGGGAGCAAGCCTTTTTTAAAATGATTTCAATAATGAGAAACAAAGAATATGTTTGCCTGTTAAAAATCAATTTTCGATCAGCCTTAGATAGATTGTTCAGTTTAATTTCTTAGATTTGGTCTAGCTTTATATTTTTTGTTATTTTGTATTACGGAGGCTTCAGAAAAAATATGAAATGTAGCTGAAATGATCTCAACAATTCAATTACTAACATTTTTTAAGGTAAGTTGTGTATTTATGGTTTCCTATGGAATTTAATCTTTAATTCACATAAAGGTATCTTTTACAAGAATAGCAAGCATTTTAAATATTGAGAATTAAGAAATGAAAAACCTTGACCAAACCCATTAAAAGTAAGAATTCAATACAAATAGCTAATTTTACACTGGCCCAAGAATTCAACTTTAAAACTTCACCTCATTTTGGACAAACTCAGTAACTGAAACAACTAAGCCTATTCTTAAAAATTTAACATTAGATATTTAAGCAGGATAATCTTGGGCTTTTATCGGAAGAGTTGGTTGTGGAAAATCTACTCTTCTTAGCGCTTTCTTAAATGAGATTCCTGCTTATAAAGGGTCATTCAAAATTTGATGGACAAGAGGCGAATAAAGGTATTCTATCGATAGCGTATGTTTGAATAAAAACCATTTATCTTTCCTGATACAATAAGAAGGAACATTTTATTTGGCAGAACTTATGATAAAGCATTGTACCAGAAAGTGTTGCTTGCATCTTAATTGGAAGAAGATTTATCTTAAATGAAATATTAAGATCGAACTTAGATAGGAGAAAGAGGAATCACTCTCTCTGGAGGATAGAAAGCTCGTATAGCTTTGGCTAGAGCTTTATATCAGTAAGCAGATCTTTATTTATTGGATGACCCCTTATCTGCTGTGGATGCTAATGTTGCTAAAAATATTTTTCAGATGGCCATTAAGGAATTTATTTTTCAATATTAAGTATAGAGAAACCCAGAAAAAAAGAAGCCTATTGTAATTTTGGTCACTCATTAAATTTAATATGCTGTCTAGTGCGAGAAAATAGGAATTTTAAATGATGGAGAATTAATTGCCTAAGGTTGCTATAATGATGTTAAGTCAAACTTATATATGATCAATGAAGATTTTGCATAATAACTAAATAGCAATCTAGAATAAAAAAAAAGTTAAGAATTGATTTAACAACCCTCTTAACAAAGAAGGAAAATCTAAAATTAAGTTACAAATAACTTAATTGGAGATGAAGCTGATTAGTAATAGCTGATTACTTTGAAAACATATTTGAGATATTACCAATTTTGGAATATTATCATTATTGTTTGTATTTTACTTTTAGAGGTAGGCTCAGAAGTTATTATTAACTTCTATTAAAGAGTAGTCTCACTTTTTCAATTATTCTAAGATGAAAATGATATTGATACTGCTTACTATATTTTAGGAATGTTAACATTAGGGCTCTTTCTCTGTAATTTAGTAAAATATTCTTTAAACACTTATTCAGTACAGACTTCGATTTAAAAAATACATTAATAGATGTTGAAATCATTAACTTTAGCACCAATTTCATATTTTGATGTGAATCCATCGGGAAGAATTCTTAATAGGTTTTCCAATGATCTATCATTGTGTGATAATCTAACAAATTATGTGAGCTTGGATGTTTTAGAAATAATTGGTAATTTCCTATTTTCCTTAATAACATTAGCAATACTATAGCCATATTTTTTGATTATGGCTGCTTTTATTATCATTATTGATGTATATTAGTTTAACTATGCTAAAAAAATTATAAGTTAATTAAACGAAATTGAATTAATGGCAAGAAGCCCTTTATTTGATTTCCTAAAGAAAACCTTGGGGGGAGTTATTCAAATAAGAGTTTATCAATAATAAGATTGGTTTAGACAACAATTCTTAGAGATCTCAAATAAATGCAATCTTAGTGCATTAGCATATTATTATTCTTCAAGATCCTTTGGATTTAATTTAGATGTTGTTGGATTTATTGCTTCTACAGTTGGTATATTTGTATTTTTAAAATTAAATTATGAAAACATAGCAATATTATCTCAAGGTTTATTGATATTGACTACATATAATGATTCTTTACAATGGGGATTAAGACAATTAATTACGTTTGAAACTTAAATTATTTCCTACAATAGAATGTTTTAAATTATTGACATTCTTCCAGAACCTCCTCACAATACTGAAGAAGATTTTAAACATCCAAATTTTCCTAAGGATGGAAAAGTTAAATTTGAAAACGTGTTTATGAGATATCGATAAAATTGTGATTTAGTCCTTAAAGGGTTGTCATTTGAAATTTAAAGTGGAGAGAAGATTGGTTGTGTTGGAAGAACAGGAGCAGGGAAATCTTCAATCATATAAGCAATATTTAGAATGTCAGAAATTGAAAATGATTCAAAATCAAAAATATCAATTTCTGATTTAAATATTACACAATTGGGATTGCATAAATTAAGGAGTAATATTGGAATCATTCCTTAATCTCCATTTTTATTTACTGGAACAATTAGAAGAAATTTAGATCCATTTGATAAGTACAAAGATGAATAATTATGGTAAGCTTTAGAACAAACAGATCTCTTAAGTCATGTCAAAGGTTTATCAAAAGGAATTTTGACTGATATGAGTGATGCAAATTCGGTTTTTTCAGTAGGATAAAAACAATTAATTTGTTTAGCCAGAATAATTTTAGAGAAAAGAAAAATTATTGTTTTGGATGAGGCAACTGCAAATGTTGACATGAAGACTGATGAATTCATTTAAGAAACTCTAAAGAATAAATTTTCAGATTGCACTCTAATAACTATAGCACATAGATTGAACACAATTGCTGATTACGATAAGGTTATGGTGGTAAGCGAAGGATAAGTAATAGAATTTGATACTCCTTTTAATTTGTTAGCTAATTCCGTAAACTCTATTTTTGTAGATAAAGCCACTGAGTTTTCCAAACTAGTGAAAAATACTGGGGAGCAGAATACATAATTAATATTTGACATCGCTAAATCAAAGCAACTTAAAAAATGATTATTATCAATATTTATTTGAATAAAGGTATATTTAAGATTTGGTACATAAAGAAAGTTTTCTAAATTTGTATCCTTTAGCAAAAACTTACTATTCATAAAAATGAGATAGATTTGGTAACAATTCTGTATTCCGTATTTCATTAATTCTTAACTGAATGATTGAATTACAAATTTCTTTTCCAACCAAGCTAATTAACATTGGAAGAAACATTTAGATTATCCATTTTAATTTCATAATTTTTCAATTAGTTTATGGCGATTCATTTTATTCAAAAATTCAAACTTAAATTGTTATGAAACTAATTTTTTAATTTTTAAATCTTTGGTCTACTGAAGTTTGGAAATTCTATTTAATTTTGTTATTAAATAGAAGAGAGTGACTTCAAGTTTTGGTTGGACCTAGTATTAGGCAATTTGGACATCAGGTTGATAAAACTGGGCCACCGTTAAATTAAGAAAGATAGACATAATGGAAAATGAAAGTCTTATTATCCCTTTTGATTTTTAAGTTTAAATATCAATGCCCCAATACTAAGAGGAATCAAAAGGTAGATCCGTGCCTGTATATGAAAATAAGAGTGGAAGTTTTGATAAAGAAGGAGAGAAGGATTGAAAAAATGCTGATAATTGAAGGAAGTAGGAGAAAAATCAAGTAGACCCAAATAGGAATCTTTTGGAATCAAAGGAAGATATAGTACAACTAATAGAACCTGTGTTTGCAGGGAGCGGGATATAGTTGCATCTTGAAATAATGATTAAGAGATTATTGGGATGAAGATTAGGATATTTAAAAAAAATCTTAAACTAGGTTTAAAGATTAGAATCCTTTATAAGCTTTAAACTATTTGATTTCACAATTTAAAGTTGAAATACGGTATTTAATCTGAATTAAAGTCTAAAAAGATGTAAATTATCTTAAAAAAATTTCATATATATGATTTATATACTAAATAAACTTAATACTATTATGCCATTTTCATTTTCATTTTTTGCATTTAATTTGTCATATAAATTATTACATTTTATTTGATTAATCAGATAGACTAATTTTATAAATATATTCATAATTCTTTCAACTCAGTTTTATATAAGTATCTTTAAAATTGAAATGACTTTTTCATAAGGCTGTACTGGAATTTGTTAATTAAATCTATAGTCAAAATTATTTTGCAAAAAATTTAATATGTTGAATTGAGCTATTATAGATAGTGTTAACAAATTTTTGGTTCAATAATTTTTATGGATTTTCTTTTTTCAACTAAGATTAATTCCATCTAAAATAAACTAATTTATATTTCCTACAAAAAATTTAAAATAATAATAATATTTAGATGTTGAATATATGTGTCATTATGGACGGCCCTTGGGAAGTTCGAGGTCTAAACTCGATGGGCAGGAGAGTTTATATATATCCCTTCAGCTGGTGTGCAAATGGGGCAAATCATGGTATCATCTCTATTGATATTAGCTAATCCTTTGGTTTCCTATTTCAAAGTTTGATATTATTCTTTACCATAACACTAAGTTCTCATCTTCCTTAATTTTTCTCCAAAACAATTTAGCTTTTTAATCACCTTTCATTCATAATATCACTATGCATGGCGAAAGGTACTCTTTAAAAAAGACCCAAACTAAAAAGTCATTCCTAGGCTGGGCTT